TTAAAAAGAAAACATCCTTTAAATAGAGGACTACAACATTTTAAACTACTATAGGGATAATTTTTACTAAATACATTCATTGGTATTAGCTTCATGGTTGTTTTTAATCAAAACATTCTAACAACTAAATAATAATAGAGATGGTTCTGGAATTATATATTGCCCTCATTCAGTGTTTCAGGGCCATGGATAACAGGAAGTGAGGCTCACTATGGCTATTTTGGAAACGGTGAAATAGATGAATAGCCATTCTAAAACAAAGTTTAAAACCGAGACAAATAACTCTCTGGGCACTCTTCTAAAGGTAGTTTTAAGCTATGAAGGCTGGAAGAAACAGTTGTTACCAAACAGGATGCTGCCTCTCTTTGAAGAGATGGCCATCTGGATGAATAGTACCTCTCCTTGCCACACACACCCACACCTTTGCTCTCTCCTGATGGAGTTTCTGACAATCTATGAGAAATTACTCCTTAACCTTCTAAACAGCACACCCATCTCACAGAAGGCCAGACCGTAGTCTGGGGGTGCCTAAGGTCTAAGCAGCCTGAACTCATCTTTGGGCAAGAACATGACATAGTTCCTCTGGTGCATTGAGGCTGCCATCACGCCCTGGGATGAAGAGCCAAATGCTTGCTTTTGGATCTCTCTCCACATGCCCTCCAGTGTGTCCCTGGGCTCAGTGACAGCCTGCCTGCCTGCTGGATCTGGTGTGTCCTCCAAGGGGCAACTGCTCTAAGTAGCCTGGAGGAGAGCCATTCCTACCACCTGCCTCCTGGGGTATTTTCACAAGATTAACAGTAATTGCAAAAGAGAAGGGCAGAAACTCTGAGGAAGTCTGGAGGAACCCAGAAGAATCACATATTCCTTGGCTGTAGATTTAATAACAAGCCCCCTTCTGAGTAGAGGGTAAGTCCAGAATGTGTTTTCCTATCTACTTCTTACTCACCTTTGGTAATGCTTTTAGGTGATCAGATAAATTTAAATGGCCAAGAATAAGAAGGATATAAAATAATAATAGATATTTAATGGTAATAGAGAGAAAAAGGAAATTTGGGGTTACATGTCTATTTTTATTTATGGAAAATAAGTAGTAACTTTGGAGGTGCTAGGCAAAATTTTTTCTTACTTTTTTTATTGAGGTCAGAGTTCCTGTACTTCATAAGGTTTATACTAATTTTCTTTTAAAAATTTGAATATTTGTTTTGTTGAAATGTGGCTAGACAAGATCTTTACAGTTCAGCATCTTGAATTGAATACAAAATCCCAAATATGGGTCTAAATGCTGCTCATTGTCTGAATAAGAAATCCAAACACTGTTCTTGAACAAATGTTATTTTTAAAATTTAAACATTGCTCAACTTTTAGTCTACAGACTGAATTTATTTTTGCAAATTATGATTTATTACTGGATTGTTATATTAATTTAAATTTGCCTTCACTGATAGCTTAATTTACACTAATAAATTCTACAAACATGTTACCATTGCTTTATTAATAACTTTAGTGTGATTGGTATAAAGAGCTTTAAGCAGTGAAAATACTGAATGTTGAATATGGCCTAGAATTGGCCTTTGAATTGAAAACTATTTCTTAGAAATAAATTAGTCCTCTAAAAATGTTAAACTTCTCTCCATGCAAACCACAATATTGCATGGATTGTACAATGGAATGTTATTCAAATTTAAATGTCCCTAAAATAAGATACATTTTAGAATCAGCTGCTTCTTAGTTTTCAGGCAATACAGTACACCGTTTCTTTGGGGCACTCCCAACACTTCAGGGGCTTGGAGATGCTGCAGAAGGCACCTCCCGTGTGCAGCCAGTGTGCTCCAACTTCTCCAGCCTGGGGATGACATCAATGATTGACTTCCAACACTCTTACTTTACTACAAAAAAAAAAAAAAAAAAAGAAAGAAAGAACTACCAGAAATAATAGAAATGAGGTTGCTTTTGATAAAAGAGGGTAATATTTTTATAACACTGTATTTTTCTGCATAGATCTTAAGTTCCTAGGAGCTACTGAGAAGTTAACTCCTGAACTTTGATCTACCCTCTCCTTTTATTTGAAAGGCTGTCAAAAGAAATTATGTAACAATAAACTTTCTCTCTGGACTTTCCTAAAACACAATTCACTATAAAAAAACAACAACAGTTTATTATATGCTAAATGTGTCTTTGGTTCTATCCAAAAAATGTTGTGTCCCTGTAGCATAGGTTCCTTCTGAAATGGCCTCACCCATCAAGGACATGATTGAAGCATGATAAGGCTGAAAACAGTTACAGTGAAGCATGGCTATAATATTTGTATAGCTTAGGGTAGATTTTGGATGTAGGGAAGCAGAAGTTATACTTTCTAATAGATAATTGTATAGTAGTTCCTCCTTGTTTCATATAAATATATATTATAGTTGAATTCAATGTCCTTGGAAGACATTGGATAAGTTATGATTAGAGCTAAAGTATATTGATAAATTGATATATGCCTGGCACTGAGGTTTTTTTGTATGAGACAAAGATATATTTTTTTAGTATTAATGCAGGAATATTAAGTATTTTCAAAGGCAGGGATAATAAAAAAATTTAAGTTTTCAGGTACAGTAATTTCTGTGTACAGAACCTAGAGATGAAAGACCTCCAGAATTAACGTCCTTAAATACATAAATTGGACACAATGTGATCAATTATATTTATGTTTTAAAATTATTATTTAAGGTTGTTATACTACTTCCTGTAAAATTATGTTCTTTAGAAGATATGTTACACAACTTGGCACAAAAATCTACAGCCCTATAAAAATTGCTAACAGGTGGTGGAAAAGTAAAGACTTAATTGCAGTCATTATATACACAAACACATACAGGCTTACACAGACACTTTATTCTGTTCCATTACCTATTGCTGGATAAGAAACCACTGCAAAATTGAGTGACTTCCAACAACAGCCTTTTTATTATATTTTACTATTTGGAGGGTCAGGAATTTGAGTAGGGCTCTGCTGAGTAGTTCCTTTGTTTCACATGGCATCAGTGAGGTCACTGGGAGGTATTCAGCTGGTGAGTGGGCTTGTTTGGAGAATCCAAAAAGAAAAAACCAAAACCAGCAGGATTCAGCAGGGAATGCTGGAAGGCAGGATTCAGCTGGCACTAGTGACCAGAAGACATGCATCATGGCCTTTCTGGCATGGCAGTCTCAACGGGGTTGAACTTCTTACATCGAAGCTCAGGGCTACCAGAGAGTAGGTTCCAAGAGAGCTCAGTAAGAAGATGCAAGCTTCCTTATAGCTTAACCTTGAAGCTTCCAGATATTCTATTTTTGAAAATTCTCATATTCTATTTTCTAAAGCAAGCCATTGAGTTCAGCCCTTGATTCAAAAGGAGGGGAATTTGACTCTAGATTTCAATGGGAAGAGGACACAAAATATAGGGCCACCTTTGGTTTACACACACCTAAACCAACTGATGGAGCACCTGGGCACAGCAACTATCCCCAGACTTTCTATGTCTGCAGTGTTCATGGCGATGGACAGCATTTGCTTCTGCAACGTGTTCTGGTCCTCTGCCAATGGAAGATGAATCCAAGTCTTCACATACAAGCAGTTAGGTTCAGGCATTCTGCGGCTGCCCCATTTCTTCTTCACTAAGTCATGATGACCAAAAAGTATTTTTATGTGTCTGGTGTCTATCACTTACTAGTTTTAGAGCTTTGCCCAGTCATGAATCATACAAAGTGAGAGCAGCAAGGGACGCTGGGGATAAAATCTGGTCCAGCTTTACAGATGAAGAAATTCAGGTCAGAAGCTGATTAGGGACAGAGCCGCAGCTGGGATCTCCTGCTGCCTTGCTTGAAGACTGAAAACCCTGACTTATCGGTGGAGCAAGCATCCTGTTCACCTTGATTCTTTTAGAAACAGCCCAGCCAACCTTCATTCCGTATGCTGTTTTATCACGAAACGTTAAGAAAAGAAACTATGTATTTTAAGTTGCACAAGTTTAATCTTGTCTATCTAAACTATATCTAACCATTCAACAAATGTTTACCGAGTACCTACGAAGTTCTGCACACACAGAAGTCGCTGCCTTCAAGAGCTTTTCCTTCTTGTTAGAAGGTCATAATACAAAGTTTATAGTAGTCACTTTTCTCTGGGCCACTTATTGGATCAAGCTATTTTATCTTTAAGTACTTCTATAATAAGTCCCCGCTGCCCCCACCCCTAATCACCGTACCTCCCTACCTTTCATATACAGAACGGACGGACCATGGGGCCAAGGATTCTGAGTTTTTATTCTACTCAGAGTGCCAATTTCGAGTGGGTATTAGTAAAACTGTCCACGGATCAATGGAAAGTCTAGTCGTTATTGCTGTTTTTGTTTTGAGAGACTTTTGCTTATTGGACGAGGTGACAGATAGCTTTGACTATTCAGACCACAGGGACTCCAGGTGGCTGCCCTAAATAGCCCTCAGAGTTTGGGTTTTCTGTTTATACGGTACCCGGTTACCATTAGCTTTTGTCTTCTGCTGCAGCTAATTTATCTTGCTCATAAACCAGCAGGGAGAAGGAGAGGGGCTGTGGACAGGACTGGCCTGCGGACCCTGACACCTCCTTGACATCAGGCCCACCCCAGCCCGCCCTCCGGAGCTGGGCCGCATGAATCACTGCTCCGGCTCAGAGGGAAAGAGCCCCCAGCCAGTATTGCCAGCCTGGGGGTGGGGCAGGGGGAGCGGGAGGAAGGGGCAGGTAGCAGCCGACCGGATCCACCTCCGGGGACCCGAAAAGGCCGAGAGGAGGCAGACCTGGGAGCGGGGTGCAGGGTGAAAAGTGAGGCGTGACCCTCGAACCTTGGGCAGCGGCAGGCTGCGGGGTCGGGCAGTTCGCTCCAGTGGCTCCGCGCTCCCTCCGGCTCCCGCCTAAGGGGAGGAGAAGGAACCAGAGGGGCGGGTTCAAGCGCTGGCAGCGGAGGTCCCGGGGCCGCGGGCTCCTCCCCGCGAGTGTGCCCGTCTGCCGCTCGCTGCGCTGAGGCAGTGCGGCGGCGGGCGCGCCGAGGCTGCCGCCCTGCACTCTCCTCGCGGCCATGCCCCGGCCCCAGTAACGCGCCTGCCGCAGCGCGCGCCCCACAGCCTCGCCCCTCCGCGCCCGCTGCCGCCTCTTCAATGGGCAACCTGCTCGGCGGAGTCAGCTTCCGCGAGCCCACCACCGTGGAGGACTGCGACTCCACCTGGCAGACGGACTCGGAGCCCGAGTCCGAGCCCGAGGAGCCGAGGCCCGGCGGCGGCGGCGGCGGCGGCGGCGGCGGCGAGGGCCCGGAGCAGGACCCCGAGCTGCCCGAGCTGCCCGCGCAGCCCCCCGAGCGAGCCGGCGGGCGTTCCCTCGCCAGCCCCGCGCCGGAGGAGGACGCCGAGGCTGCGCGCGCGGAGCAGGTACGGGCCCCGTCGCGGCCTCGGGCTGGGCCGGGGCGCAGGATCTCGCCTGCGGGAGCTGGCGCCGAGCTGCCCGCGCGGGAGGCGGGAGCGCGGGGCGGCTGTTCGCCCTTCGAGGCCAGACCCCTCAGCGCCAACCGCGCTGCCCCGCAGAGTCGGCGGCCTGCCGTGGCCGTTAGCGCCGCGGTCTGAGCGCTGCCAACCTGGGGCCTGACCAGGGGCATGAGGAGGAAGTCCCTCAAGGCAGAACCCAACTTGAATGGTTGTTTGCCTCTGCAGCGCAGCTGGAGGAGGCGAAGGTGGGGTGGGAGGAACCTGTCTAAAAATAGAGGATTGTGGAAACCGGTCTAGAACGTGTTATTGGTTAAAATGACCCAGAGAAAGGTGGGACTGCAGTTGATCAGTAGCAAGCACTCTCCCTTACAGCGGGGTCTAAAGCTTCGAAAATATTGTAGGAGGTCCCCCATCCGAAGTTAAAACGTCACAGTTTTTCCCCAAGTAAGGCCTTTCAATCGAGTTCAGGCCACTCTTTGAAATCTTATTTCACCCAGAAAACTTGTTGATCCAACTGTGGTTAAATAATTTTACCTAATATAATTTGGAGGAGAGGTTAGTAAAGAGATAAATATCCCATGTAACCTTTGAAGGAACTAAAAATAATTAAGAAAACTTTAAAAAGGAGGAACTGTATAGCTAACCCTCTGAGGAACTGTGCACCGTGGCGACATTCACGGTTTGTTGTTCTGCATTGGGCCCTTCTCTGTCAACTCTGGGAAAAAACGAGAGTGAAAACAATGGAGCTCAAAGTCACAGGTGACCACAGGGTTCTTTGCCAGAGGAGAGGAATCACCTCCTAAGTATTACAGCTAAGGCTGCCTCATACAGCTTGTTGATCATCTTTGTTTAGGTCAGAAGGAAACATAAAGTATTAGTGCAGACTCTATCCTAAAGGAGTTATTTCAATTAGCTGCAGTTTGGGGGTGGGGTGGGAGTTGCTGCTTTTAATTCTCATTTTAGAGAAAACGGGCCTAGAGAGAAGCTTGCTCAAGATCAGAGAGAGAATGATGCAAACCTAGGTATATCTATCACTAGTGTCAGAATCTTTAACCTGTTGGAATTATAGATATTCTTCTGCCCCTAGTGTTGTGGTTTGCTGCTGGGTCATTTTGAATTGTGAATTCAAATCCAGGAAAGTACTAGACCACTGTATTCCATGTTTTTCCCTTCCACTTGTCTCCCAATTAATTAACCTTCTAAAGAAGTTTCGGTTATCAAAACACACCAGGTCCATCTGTGTAAACCAATTTGATAATTAATATATCAGTCAGTTCATTGCAGCCCCAATAAATGTAGACCACACCAGCCCTCCCTTTTTTCCTTTAATGATTAATTTTTCTTGTTGGTATCACCATCTAACTTCTACTTTTTAATTTTGCTTTTTGACTACCAATCCTATTTGTTCCCTTCTCCACACAGTCAATTCACTTGCAAGTACTACTGGAGTTACCTTTAAAATATATCTCCAACTGACTACCTCTCGCCACCTCCTAGTTGACAAGTGATGGTGCCATTAACTCAGATGGGGAAGTCTAGGGAGAAAGCAGCTTTGGAGATTAAATTAAAAATTCTCTGGACTTTGATACTGTATTGCAGATCAAACTTGAGTAGTTCATTACATCTGCCAGTGGAAACCCAGTCCAAAACTATAGTCCTCAGTGTATAAGATTGGTGGTATTTACAGCCCTGGTGGGTGTGGCTCAGTGGATTGAGTGCCAGTCTATGAACCAAAGGGTCACTGGTTTGATTTAGAATTGAGACTGAGCCCAAGTGTCCTGCCTCCAAGGCTTGGGCTGTTGAAATTATACCAAATTTTCTGTAGCAAATCCTTTACTTATAGTGGAGCTGAAATTGATTTGTACCTAATTAAATTGGAGTGTGAGCTCAGATCATGGGATTCTAGTTCCTTTTCTGTCATTGAGCTCTGGGTCTCTTTGAACTTCTTTAAGCCTGGGTTACCTTTTTTCTAAGATGGAAATACTAATACCTGCCAGCAAGGTGTGTTAAAAAATCAAGTGAAATAATATACATATAAGTACTTTGTAAATGCAAAAGTGCTTTCTATACAAATGTAGGATGATGATTCATATGGTTGTAGCTCAGACTAAATAGAATCAGAAACTTGCTAGGCAGAGCTATTTTGAAATGTGTGGCAAGGAGCAGAATTTAAACTTTTCCTTGCTTATGTAACATGATAGAGTAGCTAATGTTGAACATCAGAGAATGTGGTATTAAGGTATCTCTGTACTTGTAGTAATAGTGAGAATCATACCACTTCAAAAATGTTCAAACACTGTTTACAGGACACCGGTCTCAACAGGGATGGGTTAGGGGACGGTGGGGAAAGGGTTGTCCTTGTTGTCCTTCTCGTTGTCCTTCTGGGAAACACTGGATAAGAAGCATTTGCACAGTGTAGTACTCTCTAGTGTACGCATGGACTGTAAATTGATTACATTGCTCTACATCTTATATTTTAAAAATTACTTCATGGTGGTGGGTATTTTCTTCAGAATATAAATAGTATGAATAAACTACTACATGTAAGTGATTACAATCTGAAGCTCATTCCATGTGAGAACTTTTCATTTCTGTGTGTGTATATATTTTAAATTTGCTAGTTTATATTACATTGTATTAGTGAATCAACAGATTATTCATGCCTTTGTGTACTTATTATGGTGCTATGAAGGATAGAGTTTAGAAAGCTATTTAGTTTGTTTTAAAAGCCTCTTTTTCTTACATAGATTACTTGATTCCCAAATGAAGCTAAATGTTGCAAAATTAATGATTATTTTCTATGTAGCATTGATTTATTATCTTACTTTTTTTAGTATTATATACAGTATTCTAAAATAACTTTTGTCATAGAAGCACTTGTGTGACCTATGGTAAAATATATGTGTTAAATTTATGTTGAGTTCTATTTCTGATGGATATTGATCCATAACATTTAGCTTCTATATGCTTTTGGTAAGTAATAAAGTTTGTTATTTAGTAAAACACCTTAGGACAAATGTTACTGGGTTTAAATTAGGAAGATGGAATGCCAACAAATGTTAGTAAACAATATTAAAAGAACATTATAATATTCTTAGTAATCTGGACAGCTTGACACTTTTTAGGCTTTCTCTATGGATGTTCATTGTTTTATGTTTGTTCTGGAAGTTTCTCAGTGAAATTATCTTGCTTCAGCATGTGAATGGAATTTCACTTTTTATTCTAGGGTGCTGATTCCACTGAAGCAACTGCCAAACCAAAGAGAAGCTTTTATGCTGCGAGGGATTTGTACAAATATCGACACCAGTACCCAGTAAGATATGGAATGCTTTTTTTTCCTAAAATGATTATAAAATATTTCCCTTCTGGTTTTTTAAAATTTTGTGGCCAATCAACAAGCATGCAAGAAGGATCTTTGTGCTTTTTAAAATATGTCCATATGCTGGAGATTGATTTGTTTTTTCCTTTAGCAGAACTTCAAAGATATCCGATATCAAAATGACTTGAGCAATCTTCGCTTTTATAAGAATAAAATTCCATTTAAGCCAGATGGTGAGTAATCTGCTACATTGGTAAGAAGCAAAGTCTAAATAATAAGTACACCGAGTTATTCTCTGTCTCTTCCATGGTCAGTACATTCTCAATGCATTTGTGGACTGGATTTACTTTGCTGTGCAATCTAATGTGTCCTCAAAGTCTGAGACCTGAGAATTGTTAGTATCCACTTGGCAAATTCTGAAGCAATAACTGCAGATTATCAATGCCTTCTCACCACCTGGTTACAGTGGCTATTGTCTGAAAAGTAGCGGGGGCCATTATTGTGAGTGGAAAGGAGAGGACATTTTTAAAACCATTTTTAAAATCTAAAGACATTTTTAGAACATTAGAATATTAAGGATTTTAGAGATCAAATTCAGCTTCCTCATTAAAATACAAGGTTACGAGGTCTTACATCTGGAATGACTGACTCGTCACGTCACTTAATTGTGGAGTTGGGTCTAGATTGCAGAGCTTAGTATTCTTTCCATGGTGCTGTACCTGAAAATTATTTAGAACATAATTGAAAAGGGATGTTTATAATAGAATTAACTTTCCTGTAGACTTTCAGATTCCGGAGTCAGGGAGCTATAGCAACCCTAGTTCAGTATCCAGCCTGGGAAGGGAGCTACTACATATACAGTATGTCTCCATTCAGCTCTGTCAAATAACTTGTCCCCTTCACAACTCCATGATTGCCTTCCTAAATCTTTTCTAACCCTACTTTGAAAGGATCCATATTTCAGTGAGGCTCTGTGCTGTGATTCATGGTGGGCTGCTGATTTTATCCAGATCAAACCAACAGCGCTGGCTTCTCTCCTTAGAGCCCTTATCTCTCTGAGGGGATGAAATGGCCCTGGCTTTTGCCCTTTGCTCTCAGTGGAAATTGAGCCAAAACTATAGCAATGTGAATCAGGAACATGGGTCATGCATCACAGAACTTTCAAGTGGCAGGACCTTGCCTCTTTGGTGAACTAAGTGGAGGAAAGATTTCTAAAGGCTGGGTGGAGTGTTTGGAGGAGGAATTCTCTGTGCTGTGAACTGAGAAGCACACCAGCTGGGAGGTAGGACTTGACATTGCTGAAGTGGCTAGATCCACTTGTCTATAATTAACTTTGTAATGTCCCAAAAATCTGCTCTGGTTTGGAAGGAAAACTCTGGGTTAAAATGCTCTGTTGTATTTATTAATTATAGAAACACACTTATTTTTTACTAATTGAAATAATATTAAATAAACTATTAGTATTTTTTTGAAATTTGGGGTAAGAAAACTTTTTTTAATATATTTTTGGTATGCCACAGAATTATTTTTAAAAAGAATTTATTTTTAGAGAGGGAAGGGAGGGAGAAAGAGAAAGAGAGAAAAATATCAATGTGCGGTTGCTGGGGGCCATGGCCTGCAACCCAGCCATGTGCCCTGACTGGGAATCAAACCTGCGATGCTTTGGTTCACAGCCCATGCTCAATCCACTGAGCTACACCAGCCAGGGGGGGGTAAGAAAACTTTTGAAGAAATGTAATGATAGATTGTTAATTTGACTCTGATTTGAATTTACTAAAATTTACCTAAAGGAATACCTTCAAATAGTAAAAACATTGCACACAGATATATGATAGTATTTAACTGAATTATTTTTATATTTCTAATAGTGGGTTTATATAGGAGGTAGTAAGTTAAAGGAATAACTTTAAGTAATGCATTCATTTTTCTTGTAATCTTTATCACAAAATTTATTTGGAAATTTTGTAAGATAGGTGGAGGTAAGAAATTTAGGTAAGGTCACATAAAATGTTATTTTAGTTTATTAAATATAAATAACCTCAACTTATACAGTTTCCTCCCTATTATGTGTACACACACACATATATGACAGTAAGCATAAGCCTGTAATAATGTATTTTTCTTATTAAATAGGATGAGGGGCAGTTGGAAGGGAAAACAGATGGGAAACTGTGGAGGTAAATGGTTTAAACATGCTGATAAAGCCAACAGTATGATTCAAAAACAGCTTTTTACCAAACCTTTTCAGAATGACCCTCTACTAAAAACAGGTGATTTCTGCAGGAGAAAAAAATAAGTTATGTTTAGAGAAATATTATGTTATGCTGCTTTTCTATAAAAGTGACTAAATGGCCAAATAGACAATTGAAAAGATCTAGATAGATTGAAGTGGGAGGATTTTGTTATAATAAGTTTTTATAGGGCAGGGGCACCCAACCTGTTGGCCCACGGGCTGCACGCAGCCCAGGATGGCTATGAATGCGGCCCTACATAAAATTGTAAATTTACTTAAAACATTATGAGATCTTTTTCTGTGATTACATTTCAAAACGTCTTTAATGTGTGGCCCAAGCCAGTTCTTCTTACAGTGTGGCCTAGAGATGCCAAAAGGTTGCACACCCTGTTAGGGGAATAGTAGAATGTGGTAAAGAGGGCTTACTTTTTGAAACCAGGAAGACCTGTGTTCTATTTCTACATTTATTCTTTTATTAGTGTGTGACTTTAAACAAATCATACAATTTCCTCATTAGTAAAATGGAGATAATAACACTGCTTTGGGAGAGTTCTGTGAAGATTAAGATAGATTATATATAGACACACACATATATGTGTATATATACCATATGTATATGTATGTGTATATATATATATATATCTCATATATTGAATATAATATGGGCCCAACGTATAGTAGGTACTCAACTCCTTTTTCTTTCATTTTTTTATTACTCCTTTTCTTTCTTCCTTGTCTTTGCTTGTCTTTTTCTCCTTCTCTTCCTCCTTCTTATCTTTTTCCTTGGGATTCATGTCACTTTGATCCTATCTGGTATTTAAAGAACTGTATGACTCTTTGGAGCATGGACTATATTCTAAACTTTTTCTGTACATGGCCAGATAGTAAATATTTTCAGCTTTGTGGGCCATGTGGTCTCTATTGCAGCTGCTAAACTCTTGTTCTAGTGTAAATACATAAGTGAATTTTATTCATTTGTGCATGGCTGTGTTCCAATAAAACTTTACCTATAAAACAGATGTCAGACCATACTTTCCCAGCCTCTACTTTAGAGTAACATTGTTCAATAGACCTTTCTGCAATTTGAGGTGTTGCTTTAAAAATAAATTAGGCTTATTATGTAACTAAGTATATGGCATAGGGAATTCATCTTTTAAAAGCCTTATTCTTGACTTCCAGCCAAGATAGAGGTGTAGGTAGATACACTTCACCTCCTTGCACAACTGAAAGAAGGATAACAACAAATATAAAAATAAAAAACAACCATAACTGCCAGAAAATCGAACTGTATAGAAGTCTGACAACCAAAGAGTTAAAGAAGAAATATTCATCCAGACTAGTAGGAGGGGCAGAGGCAGCCAGGCAGAGAGGACCTGTGGCAAGGTGGTGGCTGGAGGACCTGGTTGGGCAAGGTGGCAGCTGATGGACTGGAATGGGCAAGGTAGTGGCTGGGAGACCAGGTGGTTCCACATTTGTGTGCTAGTAACTGAGAAGAACAACTGGGGAGTGACACAGACCATGCAACCCAGTGCAGGGAAATAAAGCCTCAAATCTCTGGTGGTAAAAACCTATGGGGGTTGCAGTGGTGGGAGAAACTCCCAACCTCAAAGAAGAGTTTGTTGGAGACACTCACAGGGTCCTAGAATGTACACAAACCTACCCACCCAGGAATCAGCACCAGACGGGTCCAATTTCCTTGTGGGAAGTGGGGGAAGTGGCTGAAAGCCGAAAGAAAGCATAGCAAGTGGTATTGATCCCTCTTAGACCCCTCCCCCATATATAGTGTCACAACACAACAACCTGGGTTGCCCTGCCCTGGTGAATTCCTAAGGATGCGCCCCTTACGATGTAACAGCTGCTCCAAGACAAAAAACATATAGCCCTAATAAAGAACAGACCAGAACTTCAAAAATAGAACTAAACAATGAAGAGCTATCCAATCTATCAGATGCAGAGTTCAAAACACTGGTAATCAGGATGCTCACAGAAATGGTTGAGTATGGTCGCAAGGTAGAGGAAAAAGTGAAGGCTATGCAAAGTGAAATGAAGAGAAATGTACAGGGAGCCAATAGTGAAGGGAAGGAAACCTGGACTCACATCAACAATTTGGAGCAGAAGGATGAAAGAAGCATTCAACTAGAACAGAATGAAGAAACGAGAATTCAAAAAAATGAGGAGAGGCTTAGGAAGCTCTGGGACAACTTTAAGTGTTCCAGCATCTAAATCACAGGGTTGCCAGAAGGAGAAGAAGACGAGCAAGAAATTGAAAACTTGTTTGAAAAAATAATGAAAAGAAACTTCCGTAATCTGGCAAAGGAAATGGACAAGTCCAGGAAGCTCAGAGAGTCCCAAAGAAGTTGGACCCACAGAAGGCCACACCAGGACACATCACAATTATATTCCCAAGATTAAAGATAAAGAGAGAATCTTAAAAGCAGCAAGAGAAAAGAAGAGAGTTACCTACAAAGGAGTTCCCATAAGACTATCAGCTGATAGTCTTTCTTTCTCAAAAGAAACCTTCCAAGCAAGAAGGGGCTGAAAAGAAGTATTCTAAGTCATAAAAGGCAAGGACCTACATCCGAGATTACTCTTTCCACCAAAGCTATAATTTACAATGAAAGAGCAGATAAAGTGCTTTCCAGATAAGGTCAAGTTAAAGGAATTCATCATCACCAAAACCTTATTGTATGAAATGTTAAAGGGACTTATCTAAGAAAAAGAGTAACAGTAAACAGTAAAATGACAAACTCACAACCATCAACAACTAAACAAAAAAAAACCCCATCCCAAAACAAAAACAACCTAAGCAAACAAGTAGAACAGGAACAGAATCACAGAAATGGAAATCACATGGAGGGTTACCAGTGAGGAGGGGGTAGAGTATGGGGGAAAAGGTACAGGAAATAAGAAGACTAATTGGTAGGTACAAAATAGACAGGGGGAGATTAAGAATAGTATAGGAAATGGAGAAGCCAAAAAACTTATATGTACGACCCATGGACATGAGCTAAAGGGAGGGAATGCTGGTGGGAGTGGGGGTGTAGGGCAGAGGGGAATAAAATAGGGAAAAATGGGACTACTGTAATAGCATAATCAATAAAATATATTTAAAAAATAAAAAGCCTTATTCTTGAGTGCTGTTATTAATATTTTAAAAGTTTTAATATAAAGCTTAAGTGATAAAATGCCTTCGACAATGTTTTAAATGTCTTGTTCACTTTCTGAATATTTACTCTGTAGGTGTTTACATTGAAGAAGTTCTAAATAAGTGGAAAGGAGATTATGAAAAGCTGGAGCACAACCACACTTACATTCAATGGTCAGTTACATATTACCTGTCTTGAACCATGTCCTATTTAATAATGTATGCTTGCCAGACTACATTAATATAGAAGTATTATTTTTCTAAAAAATAGGCTTTTTCCCCTGAGAGAACAAGGCTTGAACTTTTATGCTAAAGAACTAACTACATATGAAATTGAGGTAATGCAAACTCATTTTATTTTATATGAGATGGCCAAATAATATTGCTATTTTATTGGCCTGGTAAGTACTGAATCATTTCAGCTGACTTTTCTTTTCATTAGGAATTCAAAAAAACAAAAGAAGCAATTAGAAGATTTCTCCTGGCTTATAAAATGATGTTAGAATTTTTTGGAATAAAACTGATTGATAAAACTGGAAATGTTGCTCGGGCTGTTAACTGGCAGGAAAGGTTTCAGCATCTGAATGAGTAAGTAAAGCCCTCGCCGTCCATCGGGCCAGCATGTTCCTTCCCCAGGGCTGGGATTCTCTGCCGAACACAGGCACAGCTAGCAGTTGGAGCCAGGGATTTGAATCCAGAAGCTAGTCTGAAATGCACCTTATTCTCTGCTCTATATTCTAAAACAAAACAGAACAGCAAAAAACAACGCAGTTCTAAGTAGGAATCTGGCTACTCAACTTCAAGCTGTTTCTTCCTGTAACCTGTCCGCTGCCCACAGCTGCCCTGGCCTCTTCCCCTTTCAGCGCCGACTATCTTGGCATTTATCGTTATTGTCTGTGTAGTTTTCCAAACCCCATCTACTAGATTGTAAGCTTCTTGTGGCACAGTCTGCTCCTCAGGCGTGGTACTTTAGATTACATACATGAACTAAGCCTATGACATAAAAATCATTTTGTAAGGCTGAGATGTTCTCATACATTTTCCTTAAAAAGAGGGAAAATTAGAGCCTTTGCTATTTAGGTAAAAAACAAAGGCCATTTGTGGTTAATAAACCTCAAAAGCTATGAAGGAAATTTTAACAGTTTATTTGGATTTGATTTGCTTTCTTCTTTTGCTGAGATATTTATCACTTTCATTAATATTTATATCTAAGGTTTATTTTTCTCACTTTTTTTACATGCAAGCTGGCTTTTTCCTTTCAATTATAGGGTGACTTGTGAGACCTGAGCTTTAAAACCAACAGCTTTAAAGTATTTTTTAAAAACACATGTTAATCAGCTGAACTGGGCAGGTATTAAAAGAAAAAATTTTAAAATTACCTAAGACATTTTTACTTGTCCAAAACAAATCAAAATTTTGTGCATCAATTAACTAAAATGTTTGTGTGTTTCTAGAACTTTCATCTCACTTTAGTAAAATAAGTATTAATGTTTAAACCTTTCTTTTATTTTATTAGTTATAATCAACACAATTAAAATGGTGGCTTGTATTAAAATACTGAAGATACAGGCACAAAGCTCATTGGTCCTGATTAGAAGACCCATTAACTAATAAATCAAGTTAAATTTGAATTAGATGGGCCACTTAAAGCAGAAGTATGTAAGCCTCTGCCTAAGCCATGCGGGTAGCTAGCTCTGGACTAAGTTAATAAGCACCTATGCCATACTGTCAAAGAACGCTGAATGCAAGTGGCCTGTCGACCTGCAGGATGGCAGAAGTAAACCTTTGGAGAGGATCTGATAGTACCTCATCTTTCATGTACTCATGTTTATTGTTTTAGAGAATCTCTGTCTCCAACTTGTTTTTGGTTGGAATAGCAATCTTGTTTAGCAGATGTTTGTTGAATGAATAGATGATGAACAACATATGTTTGTGAGCTTAAATCTTCCTTGGGGTTATGTTGTCAGATCCTTTAATTGATAGCTGCAAATGGTCCTATGAAGGTTTTAGTTAGATGATCTCCTGGGCTGAGTCAGGGGAGGGCAGCTTGAACTAGCTGCCTCGTTTCACTTCTCTGCCTCATTTCACTTCTCTGCCTCATCCTGCTCCCTTACCTTCCACTGCCCATCATCTCTCTGTTTCCTTTCCCTGGTTATTGCATAGAGCTTTTGCAGCTGTGAACTGCCTTAAAATCTACCAGAAAACAACTATCCTTTGAGGTTTAGTTACCAAAAAATTATATTGACTAGATTTGAACAAATTATAGGGGATTATAGAAAGACTTCTGTTCCATTTTCTTTCTTTATTTGGGTTCTTTTCTGATCTATCCTTAAATGTCATAACTTATTATGTTTTAATCTATATGCTATCTGGAGCTTGTTAGAGTAGGTAGGGAACTTTATTTATATATAATAGCCCAGCAGACAAAAAGTATTGAATGAAATAGTGTTCAGTGAAAAAGTGACCATGACTAAAAGAAGTGATATATTTTCAAACGTGACACTACCAATTACTAATATGTATTTCCAACTTTATTTGTGATCACCCTAGATGACTGAGCCATGTTTTAGACCAGAGGTGTCAAACTCATTTTCACTGGGGGCCACATTCGCTTTGCAGTTGCCTTCAAAGGGCTGAATGTAGTTTCGACTCCTTAACAGTTAAGGAGTAGTTACATTTATACAGTCCTAAAATTATTTCGGCCCTTTGAAGGCAACCGGGAGGCTGATGTGGCTCCCAGTGAAAATGAGTTTGACACCCCTGTTTTAGACTCTGGAATCTTCTCTACCTTTTTTTTCTTCATTTTTTTAAAAAATTTGTTTTTCTATCTTTTATTTTTTGTCTCCTGGTTCTTGCCTTTTGTGTATTCTTTCTTCACCTACTTGGTCTTTCTGACAATGTGAGCCCTTACCTATGTCTGAAGTCCAGCATCTCTTGCTTATCTGGGGTATAACCGCTAAGACTGCTCATAATATTAGGAGGGTTTTAGCTACTCTTCTTCCATTTTGTCTTCATTTGTGACATTTATTTCAAGTCATCGAAACACCCAATTTATTTCTTATATAATTTTGTTCCATAATCCTGATCTTTATTCTCTTTAACCCAAGTTTTTGTCCTTTTCTACTATTATATAAATATTTTTAATTGGAAAATGTGTAGATATAGATAAATGTGTACAAAAATGTTATTTTGGCCATTTGGCTATTTTGGATTGAATATGTGAAATTAAGCTGGTTGCAAATATAGTACATTTTGTTGTGCCATATAACTCATCATTAATATTTAAAAATATATTCTTTCACTTTTCCTTGCCTCTCTTTATTGTAGATTTATGAGGCCGATGATGCCCAAGAGTTTTATCACTAACTTTTTAGAGTATACAGAATCTAACAACCAACCCTAACAACTAAGTTAATTCTGCCATTAATGGCACATTGTCTTAACTTCAACAAAATGTGTATTGTCTTGAAATACCCTTACTTCCTAACTATAGTAAAGTACAGATTCATAAGACTGAAATGTACTCTGTGCTATGTTTCATCCTTTGCCTTCAAAGAGTTGAATATTAAGATAATACTTTTTGGTAAATATCCTGACAGACGGTGATGATAAAAATTGTTGGACTTCTCTATTGTAGTATTTGGTTATCCCAAATCCTGAAGGCGTTTGTTTTGTCCAGACTCTTTTATTAAAATGTGAGATCCTAGAACCACTTCCTTGTTTCCCTCAACTAATTAATTAACATGCTTCTGCATTCTTCCCAAATAATTTGCTACTTAGTCCTAAGTGAAATACTCGAAGCACTTTTGGAAGCCAGTACAGGTATCTGCAATGCTTGTATAAAGTATAGTGTCTAAGGTATACTGGAAGTGTTTCAGGAAGTTAGAAATAACCAGTGGTCATGGTTGTGTTGTGCGATATGGTTGTGTGATATTGGGGAAACAAATAACCTGGGCTGTTTTTGACAACACATGGTTGCTGTATGAACTTGACGATTCCTTTAGGATACAGCCAGGCACATGTAACAAGGCAACTAACTATTGGACTGAGTGAAGTAGGAAAGGTGGATTGTGCATTGTGACAGAATGGGGTTGGGAAGCACTCATCTCAATGGCCCTAGTATTGGGACAGAGGAGAAAGATCATAGTGCAATCTGGGGGAAAAGGTGTCTTTGGAATCAGCATCATTGGAAGGAAAATTTAAAATTCTCTGATAGGGAAAAAGGAAAAGAGACACCAGGGATGGAAAAGGATTAAGTTATTAAGTTGGAATAGGTACACACATGGTGGCTCTTATTACCACATTTTAAAAATAACAACATTAATGTTAAATACTATCTAATATTTATTGAGATCTGCACGGCCTGCATATTTTTCAATGCATTTGATTCTTATAACAAACAGTCCAGTGAAGTTCAGCAAATGAGTATACGAGCCTTAGTGAGCCATTGTCATTTCACATAGCTGTGCATGGCAGAGCCAGGGTAAACGCAGGTCTGACTCCAAAGCCCGTGCTCCTCACTATTCAGCTACGCTCTGCTAAATTAGTTAGAGTTGCATCTTCTGTCAGAATTGTTCTGGAAAGGTAGAGTGGTTTTTTGCTGCTTTTCGTAAGAGTTGACTAATACGGTAGATTTTGCTGACTAGCTGATAGTACAGATCATACCATTCAGTTAATAGCTAATATTGTGTTTAGGTTTTGTATTGGTTATCTTTGCTAGATACAGTACATTGCTGTTGTTTCAAATAAATACTCTAGTAGATCACTCATTCTCAGTATATTTAAGAAACACAGCAGTTCAACAGCAGTGGGAATAAATTTTAATCTAAATATTTTTCAAATATGAAGAACTTAAACAAGGAGAATGTATATTATATGTTTGAGTTGCATATGAATTAACATTACATTGAGGTATAAGGGTTTAATACCTTCTAATTTATTTTTCTTAATGGTATCTCTAGTATGACTTTTAGTAAAGTCATTACAAGGCTCATTTCCATGGCTTAAAGTTCCACAAAAAATATTTTCTGAGTAGTTTTTATTCTCCTGCTTTCCTGCACCTGGTTCCCTGCCCCCTCATTTTATTCAATCCTGTCTTCTAGGTCCCAGCACAACTACTTAAGAATCACCCGTATTCTTAAAAGCCTTGGCGAGCTTGGATATGAAAGTTTTAAATCTCCTCTTGTAAAATTTATTCTTCATGAAGCTCTCGTGGAAAATACTATTCCCAATATTAAACAGAGTGCTCTGGAGTATTTTGTTTATACAATTAGAGACAGAAGAGAAAGGAGAAAGCTCCTACGGTTTGCCCAGAAACATTACACGCCTTCAGAGAATTTTATCTGGGGGCCACCTCGGAAAGAAGAGTCAGAAGGAAGCAAAGCCCAGAAAATGCCTTCCCCTCCCACCTCCAGTCATAACAGTCAGACTTCTATGCACAAAAAAACTAAGGACTCCAAAAATTCCTCCTCAGCTGCTCCTGTAAATAGCAAAACAGCCGAAGAAAAAAAAGTGGCACCTGGAGAGCCTGGAGAAGAGACAGACAGGCCCAGAACCGAGCCCGGCCCTGAGGCTGCTGGGCTGAGGAGCGTGGAGAAGGATGGGAACCCCGAAAACTCAAATTCTCAACCAGAAAAAATGACAAGCAATCCCACAGAGGGAAAGCAGAGTGTACCGCCTCCTGAGGAAGGTGAAGAGGGTGGAAATCATGACAAAGACTGTGACAATCCTGGAAGTACAGGTTCTCAGGATGAGGTCCTGCCCCAGTGAATTATCAGAAACTCACCAACCCAGGTTAGGTTCGGCAGGAGAAAGTTGCTGTGCGGCCTATCCTAATGAACAGAGGTCATATCTCACATTTTAGCCATCTGTTTGTGATTTATGTTGTAAGCATTTCATTGTGTGTTTTTTAATTTTGGATGGCAATAAGTTTAATAAGATGTTTCAAGATAAAACCCAAAAAATGTATTCTGTAACACTTTTAGGATGTGAGTTTACACATTCTGTGTACAAGAATTATTTTGCAATTATTTTTATGTATCTGGAAATAGTCATGTAATATTGGTAATACCAAATAAATTCCGTTGAGAGATTACAGTCTACCTGATGAAAACCAAGATGATAATTTCATTATGTTGCTACACCTTTGACCGATTTATGGGTTAATTATTTTTAAGCTGGAAGAATCTGGTCTTCTCAAATGTAATCAGAAAGTAATTTGGATTTTTTTATTACAACAGCTCAACATGTTTATTTTGACATTCTGGTAGATGAAATGGATATCTTGGGGAAGCTATGATCCCTCCAGCCCATTTGTCAGTCTTGCTGCCTTTTCCTGTTCCCCTCTCTGCACTCACCCTCCTCCACCGTCTTCATCAGCCAGCACGTGTGTTCCTCCTGTGCATTTGGGGAAGCTCCTATATTGAAATTGAAATGGAACAGAGGGGAACTTTTGACTGTATGATTTCAAAAATTTGCTTTGCTTGAAACAATAAAATTGTTTTCTGTATTAAGTGCTTAATTTTTTTTTGGATGCAGAAATCCAAGAAAAGAATTTTGCCTTCTGTGGCTGTTCCATATGAATTTGGTACTTGTTTCTGAATGTAAATGACTAAAGATTTAAAAAATAAGAAAGGAAATTATTTATTTTTAAAAGACATATCTCTTGCTCCTAAAGCAAGCAAAGCTCCTAAAGCAGTCCCTAAAACCCAGAATATCTTAGTGTTATGTGGATCTCTTTTAAAAGAATTATAATTTGTTGCTTCTCTAAGTTGGCAAACCTTGAAATTGAGAACAGATTTGAAATTCAATGTACTCGGTTTTCGTAAGCACTTAATGTGTTAATACTGGTCAAGAGCAAATAATTTTATTCTTGTAATGTGTTAACTAATTATTATTACACATCAGGAAAAGTCAGAAACACTGTGGTGAGAACTTCAAAGCATGCATACATATATACTTAAAGCAATGAATGGGAAAGAATTTTTTCATTTTATTTTATTTAGAAAAAAAATTGGCTTTTGTGTGTCTCTTAGGGGTTTGAGAAAAGTACTGTTTACCCCCCACCCCCGCCCAGGGAATGTTTACTGTCCTATTTATTAATCACATCATATGTCATCTTCTGTTAAATTTATTGGTCAGAGGATTTTAAGCAGAGTATTTCTGGAAAACAAACACACCCATAGTATGCCTTTAGAAATATGATTTTATTGCTTTGAAGTTTATAGGAAACATCACAGTTGCTCAAACTTGACTTTGTTTATATGAATGTTATAACAGTCATGTTGTATATTATATTACAATAAATATAGGATATTTGTCATTTTTGCTTCCCCAAATATACCAGTTTTTGCTTTCTACTGTTTTGTGAAGTGATCATTAGGATTTGGGGCAGCAGTTCTTTCCATTTCTTTTTTTAAAATGGATTTCTGATGTGGTGTTTGCTGTCGCACCATCCCCACAGAGTTCAATAAACAGCATTATAGGGTTAGGGGTGAGAACAGGGTGTCCCATTTGGCTGAATTTTAGAAATATGATTAATTCAAAACATCTTACCAATTTTGTACACATGATAAAGTGTTCAAACTGTTTTCTAAGTGCATAATGTTAAGAACTTGTGACCACATATTAAGATAGTAAATAGTGGACAGATATTAAAATAAATGGCTATCATCTGAATTACTTAGAAACTGTAGTATATCAGAACCCTAAGACATAAAGCATTTTATTCAACAATTTAACTTTGAGAATATTATCCCTAATTAGGGGTTTGATTGGATCATGCCATTTAATTTGAGGACATTTTGTCTTCAGGGAAAAACTGCCAGGCTTCCATTTAAAACAGTGGCCTTTCCCTACAACGTTGTTTTGTAAATGCCTGTTCGTGTAACAGTGCAATGCCCACACTTAACCTGTGAGTGACCTATGAGAGGATTATTCAGGGGAGATCAAGTGGCTGTTTTTCTTTTGCAGATAAAAATTATGAGTGTCTAGATTTTTTTTCTATTAAGAATACTTTGTACATTTAGTAGTTTTTAGAATAAGATCTATAGATATGTATTTGTGTGTGTCTTAGATATGAAAACAACCCTCTGGGTTTGACTCTGCTGTTTGGTATCTTTAAAAACTACCATATGCTTACAGAAACTTACTGAGAAACTGTTATAAAAATGCAGTGAAGCATGGCTACATAGCTAGAAACATTATTGAGTCTTTGCAAATATATAGACTTTCTTGTTGTACCATAGACTGTGAGGATACTAAATATTGGCTATTGATAGCATACTAACTTGTACTTCATGGCAAATTGACATTGTACCACTTGGTTAGTCTAGTGCATTTCTAATATTTTGTGCTTTCATATCTCTAAGCAGATAATATATGTGAAAATTTTGACATATTATAAAGTGATACATAATTATGAGATATGTGTCAGTACAGTCAAGGTTTATAACATTAAGAATATTGTACCATTATATATGTTCATGCTTGATCTCATAAGAAATTCAAAAGAATCATGGTAGAAGTGAAAATATGTCAGCTTTATCTAAATCAGGTTTAGTTCTCAATTCAAAAACTTGGTATAATTTTATTTTAAATTTAGTTTTTGAAGACTACTTGTCACCTTCAAGGAGAAAATAAAACCTACAACTCAGAAGTTACTAGAGAAGTTCTAAGACATGCTAGAATCATTTCAAATGTAGGTGCAGTTGTAGACAATGATGGCCTGGGTTAACGTCTGATCTAGAAAGTTAGGAGTGCACGTATGTTGAGTTCTTTCCACTTGGAATTCTGCAGTGTTTATTACATGAACAGATTTGTGTGGGTAATGTCTAGGGTGACAGTGAGTACTGCCCTGCCTCCTTCCCTGTTCTAGTTTCCAGCCCACCCAGCAGATTGTGTTCAGGGACAGACTGTGTTTTTAGAAACCCCTTATTACTGAAGTTAACACAGTTATACATGTGAATGCCTGGGAATGGCCAGATGTGCCTTAACTAATGTAAATGGTTTTCATTCACAAGTTTAAACTTTTATTCCATTGTAAAATCTTGCCACAAGGAACTTTCCAAACCATGAATATCAGTTACTTTAATGAAATTTACTTTGGTGCTTTTTCACTGTGGAGAAATTTCCATTTGTAACAGTAGCATCAGTTCATAAGGAAGTGTACTTGCTACATTGTTCAACAATATATTTGACAAAAGTGTTTATAGTAAAATGATTAACTATATTGTTACATTTACTTATGCTTTTGCTTAATTTTGCTACATGCTATAATTTTCAATTTAAATATCTCTCAGTTACTACAAGTAATCTCTGGACTTGACTTCCTGTTCTTAGATGCAGAAGAATGTTCTTTTCTGCAGATGAATGCAGAAAATGGAAGTCTACTAGAGAGATTATGGAAAATTTTAGTCCAGTAGGTATTAGAGAAACCTGACATTTATTTTTAAAACTTTTATGCTATAGTCTTATTAGAAACATTTACAAAGCACTGTTTTTGCTTTTTTCCTACATGAGAGAGAATGTTCTTTGTCATTTCCTTTTTTCCTGATCTGTTGAGAAGCTAATATTTTTTAGTTATTTGCAGAAAATAAGGAAATGACTTCTTAATAAGTTTGCTTTGTTTTATGACCCAGACTGTGCATGGAAGGAGAGTTCATGGAGGAAGAGGCGTCTGAGAACCAGGTGGGCATCTTGGAAAAGTGGAGCCAACCAGCACTAGGCAGCGGCCTCTCCAATGGCTTGATGGGTCCTCAGAGCCAACTCTGGATAATGAGGGTGTTGGGCCCTATGATCTCTGAATTCTGAGGAAGGTGGGCCACCGTGGACTCCATATACCATTATGATAAGCATCAATTTTAATAAAATATTTGTTGTAATTTATTTGGTACCATTTTGTAGTTTAGGAAATTGTGAGCAAATGGACACTTGCCCTATAAATTATAGCTGTATCTTTATCCCTATCTTGGGAAATAGATTAAAATATCAATTCCACCTACATTTCTCCCAGTTTTTCAATTAGAAAGTTTTGGGTTGTTCTTTCATAGGTATATATAAAAATGTCTTTTCATAAAGTGATTCAGTGTACTTTAAAAATGAGGTAAAAGGGAAAAGGCATCGATGCTCACTTGTTATGCTAAAAGATCTTTTCAAAAAAATCAGAAACCTTATGAAAATATTTTTATTTTTAAATTGTAATGGAGTTTGTGGAACAGTTTACATTACTAGAATGATTAAGTAATAAGCTTTGGTCCTAAGAAGGGTTCAAGTTCTGCACTCCTTGGTCAATGTACATTTTTCTTCAATGCCGAAAGATTTCTTTTCATGTGAAGAAAAGAAAAAACACAAACTAAAACAAAAGATTAGAAACAGTAACAAGAAACTCATGACAAAAACGTATAACCAATTATAGGTTAGTGCAAGTGCCAGCATTATTGGAACCTGATGAGGAGTATTCCACAAAAGCCTCACAGTGGGGCGGGCTCTCAGTGTCAGCAATTTGTGCTGAGGCGACAATGCACTGGCTTTGGAAACCAAATCCCATTAATACTCTCCTGTGAACCATGAATTCCACCTACTCCACAGTAGGCTGACAGAATTAATCAAATGATCAGATACCAAGTTTAATTCCTTTGCTGGTGTGTATGGATAGTTGCTGGTTTTACAACAAAAAATTAAATTGAGGGACTGGCTGCAGATAAGAGAGGATTTAGTGATAAGTTGTTGATTGATGAAGTAACTCTCTTGTACCGTCCAGAGTTGACAGCATTCTAACAGCGTGGCATCACAATTACAAGAATCAAATGAGAGCAAAGTGTTAGGTCCTTTGACAAGCATTTTCTTTTCCCTTTTTATGAAAAGGGCATTTACTTTTTTCTGAAGTAAGATACTGGCTCTTCTTCAATGTTACCTAAGAAGGTAGATGGCAAATTGGGCCTAGTCACTATTTTAATCTGGAAACTGTTGTGACCTTTGTATTTTAAGTATTCAGGAAAATGGGAATGATTCTTTAAAAGATGTGGTCTTTACTTCCCGCATAATCTCTGACTACCCAGTGGCTGCTAGGCCTCCCTGTTGTCTGCATTCCACCACAGTGTGAATCACAGAATGCTGTGTGCATGTCTCTTCATACCAATACCGTGTGTGTGCGGTAGGAGATGTAGCCAGTTTCTGGATCTGTTTGGTACTACGAAACACTTCTTTTATAATTCCGGAACTGTATGGCAGTGTTGTGCCAAAATGTATACAGAGCAATAGTTTTTGTTGTTTCCTGCTGTGTGTTAAAATATTGTTTCTGAACTAATATATTTTAGAGTTCCTTTAGAGTAATTATTTTAATAACTATTGCCAAATATAAATCCTGTAATAAAAGCCACTTCATCTTAGTTAACATTTTAGCATTATGTTAGAGTATGTTGTGTTGATTTTGCATGATTAAATATTTTTCAAGATCTGGAACAAATGACTTGCTGTTTTTCTATGATTAGGCATTTTTATGATTATTATATAAGATCAACATTACTTCCTTTTACCCTCTAAAATAAATATTTTAAAGGGTGAAATCCTATTTAACATAGAGTCATTTTTTGTTGTGCCATTTTGGAGGGCAGGTCACATGTGTAAATACTTGGATTTTTTTCCCCTTTTTTATTTTTCTCTAATGCAAAATATTAAAAGTATATTTAATACAGATGAATGAAAATGAATAACTAATGGAGATGGAAGGTTTTCTTTTTCACTTAATAGGGCTAGTCTTTTTAAAAGGTAAATTGTTTTATTCTTGTTTATTCTATTATAGTTGTCCCAATTTTCCCCCTTTGCCCTCCTTTGCCTAGCTCACCCCCGACCCTGCAGCCCATCCCCACACTGTTGTCCATGTCCGTGGGTCATTCATACATGTTCTTTGATCACTTCCTTCCCCTTCTTTCCACTATCCGTTTTGTCCCCTCTTCTTCTGGCGGCTGTCAGTTGCTTCCATGTTTCTTTGTCTCTGATTCTGTTTTGCTCGTTAGTTTATTTTGTACATTAGTTTCCTCTATTAAGTGAGATCATATGGTATTTGTCTTTCACCACCTGGCTTATTTCACTTAGCATAATTCTCTCAAGTTCCATCCATGCCATCGCAAAGGGTAGGAGCTCCTTCTTTCTTTCTGCTGCATAGTATTCCACTGTGTAAATGTACCCTGGGTTTTTAATCCACTCATTTGCTGATGGGCACTTAGGCTGTTTCTAGCACTTGACTATTGTATGTAGTATTTCTGTGAACATTAGGCTGCGTAGATTCTTTTGAATTGGTGTTTTGGGATTCTTAGGGTATAATCCAAAAATGGAATCATTGGGTCAAAAGGCAGATCTATTTTTAATTTTTTAAGGAAAATCTATACTGTTTTCCACAATGGCTGCACCAGTCTGCATTCCCACTGAGAGTACACTAGGGTTCCATTTTTCTCCACATCCTCTTCAGCACTTTTTGATTATTGATTTATTAATAGTAGCCATTCTGACAGGTGTGAGGTAATATCTTATTGTGGTTTTGCATCTGATGGCTAGTGATGTTGAGCATCCTTTCATATGTCTCTGGGCCCTCTGTATGGCCTCCTTGGAGAAGTGTCTGTTCAGGTCCTTTGTTCATTTTTCAATAGGATTGCTTATCTTCCTGGTGTTGAGTTATATGAATTCTTTATATATTTTGGAGATTAAACTCTTGTCTGATGTGTCATTGGTAAATATGTTTTCCCATACAATCAATTCCCTTTTCATTTTGATGATGGTTTCTTTAGGCATGCAGAAACTTTTTAATTCGATGTAGTCCCATTTGCTTATTTACTTTTTACTTTATTTCCCTTGCCCTAGGAAATATATCAGCAAAAAATATTGCTACATGGGATTTCTGAAATTTTACTGCCTATATTTTCCACTAGGATGTTTAGGGTATCATGGATTATAGTTAAGTCTTTTATCCATTTTGAGTTTATTCTGGTATATTCTGGTGTAAATTGGTGGTCTAGTTTTATTTTTTTATGTACTAGTTCAGTTTTCCCAGTACCATTTATTGAAGAGGCTATTTATACTCCATTGTATGCTTGTGCTCACTCTGTCAAATATTAATTGACCATAGAGACTTGGGTTTGTTTCTGGCTCTCTTTCTATTCCATTGATCTAAATTCTGTTCTTATGGCAGTACTACACTGTTTTGATTACAGTGGCCTTATAGCATAGTTTTATTTTGGGTATTATGATCCCTCTGACTTTATTCTTCTTTCTCAGGATTGCTGAGGCTGTTCGAGGTCTTTTTTGGTTCCATACAAATTTTTGAAGTACTTGTTCTAGATCTGTGAAATATATCATTGGTATTCTAATAAGAATTGCATTGAAGCCCTAGCTGGCATAGCTCAGTGGATTGAGAGCGGGCTGCGAACCAAAGTGTTGCAGGTTCCATTCCCAGCCAGGGTACATGCCTGGGTTGCAGGCCATAATCCCCAGCAACTGCACATTGATGTTTCTCATGTTTCTCTCTCTCTCCCTCTCCCTCTCTCTCTCTCTCTCTCTCCCCCCCTCTCTCTCCCTCCCTCCCTTCCCTCTCTAAAAATAAATAAATAAAATCTTAAAAAAAAAGAATTGCATTGAATCTGTAGATTGCTTTGGGTTATGAACATTTTAATGATGTTAATTTTTCCAATCCATGAATAGGGTATATGCGTCCATGAATTTGTATCTTTCTCAATTTCTTACTTCAGTGTTCTATAATTTCCCAAGTACAGGTCTTTTGCCTCTTTGGTTAAATTTATTCCTAAGTACTTTATTTTCTTTTTTTGTTGCTATAGTAAGTGGGATTTTATTCTTAGTTTCCCTTTCTGATAGTTCACTGTTGATGTACAAAAATGCCATAAATTTCTGAATACTGACTTTGTATCCTGCTTCTTTGCTGAGTTCACTTATTAGGTCAAGTAGTTTTTTGGTGAAGCCTATAGGGTTTTCTATGTACACTATCATGTCCTCTGCAAATAATGACAGTTTTGCTCACTGCTTTCCAATTTGGATGCCTTTTATTTCTTCTTTTTGTCTGATCACTGTGGCTAGGACTTCCAGTATTATGTTGAATAAGAGTGGTAAAAGAGGACACCCTTGTCTTGTTCCTGATCTTAAGGGAAAAAAGATTTTAGTTTTTTTCCATTGAATATGATGTTCACAGTAGGGTTTTTTTGTATAAGGCCTTTATTATGTTGAGGAACGCTCCCTCTATTCCCACTTTGCTGAGAGTTTTTATCATAAGTAGATGCTGGATTTTATCAAATGCTTTTTCTGCATCTATTGATATGATCATGTGATTTTTGTCTTTCATTTTGTTTGTGTGATGTATCACATTTATTGATTTGCTAATATTGTACCATCCTTGTACCACCCTGGAATAAATCCCACTTGATCATGGTGTATCATCTTTCAAATGTATTGTTGGATATGGTTTGCTTGTAATTTGTTGAGGATTTTAGCAACTATGTTCATCAGAGATAGTCACTTGTAATTTTTCTTTCTTTGTTGTGTCTTTACCTGGTTTTAGTATTAGGATAATATTGGCCTTGTAAAAAGCATTTGGGAATCTTCCCTCTTCTTGAATTTTTTGTAATAGTTTAAGAAGGATAGGTGCTAGTTTTTTTTTGAATGTTTGGTGAAATTCTTCTGGGAAGCCATCTGGTCCAGGGCTTTTGTGTGCCAGGAATTTTTAAATTACTGCTTCAATTTCACTAGTTGTTATTGTTCTATTCTAGTTTTCTGCTTCTTCCTGATTCAGTTTTGGAAGATTATATGTTTCTGGAAATTTATCCATTTTGCCCAGGTTTCCAATTTCTTAGCATATAATTGTTTATAGTAATTTCTTACAACCCTTTATATTTCTGTGGTATCAGTTGTTGTTTCTCTTTTATTTCTGATTTTATTTATTTGGATCCTCTTTCTTTTGTTCTTGATGAGTCTGGTTAACTGTTGATTTTGTTTACCTTTTCAAAGAATGGCTCCTGGATTCATTTGTCCTTTAAACTGTTTTTTTTTTTCCTTTTAGTCTCTTATGTCTCTTAATTCTTCTCTGATCTTGAATACTTCCTTCTTTCTGCTTGCTCTGGGCTTTGTTGTTGTTCCTATAGCTCTTTTAGATGTAGAGTCAGGTTGTTTGAGATTTTTCTCTCTTCTTTAGATAGGCCAGTATTGCTATGTTCTTCCCTCTCAGGACAGCTTTCACTGTGTCCCATAGGTTTTGGGTTGTTGGGTGTTCATTTTCATTTGTTTCCAGGTATTTTTGATTCCTTCCTTGATCTCATTGTTAACCCATTCATTATTTAATAACATGTTATTCAGCCTACATATATTTGGATGATTTTGAGTTATTTCCTTGAGGCTGGTTTTTATTTTCAAGCCATTGTGATCTGAGAAGATGCTTGATATGATTTCAATTTTCTTGACTTTGTTGAAGCTTGTTTTGTATTTTACCATGAGATCTGTCTTTGAGAATGATCCATGTGTGTTTGAGAAGAATGTACATTTTGCTTCTTTGGTGTGAAATGTTATGTAAATATAAATTAAATCCATATGACCTAGAGTGTTGTTCAAAGCTGCAAATATTCTTGTAGATTTTTGTTTGGAAGATCTATCAATTGCTGACAGTGGGGTATTAAAATCCCATGCGATGACTCTGCTGTCAATCTCTTTCTTAATGTACTCCAATATATTTTATATATTAGGTGCACTTATATTGGGTGTCTATATGCTCACAAGGGTTATATGTTCTTATTGGACTGTTCCCTTAAGTATTAGGAAGTGACCTTCTTGGTCTTTTATTGTGGCCTTTGTTCTGAAGTCTGTTTTGTCTGACATAAGTATTGCTACCTCAGCTTTTTTTTCATGTCCATTTGCATGAAATAATTTTTCCATCCCCTCATTTTCAGCCTATGTAGATCTTTTATTCTGAGGTGGGTCTCTTGTATACAACATATATGTGGGTCATGTTTTCTTATTCATTCAGCTTCCATATATCTTTTGATTGCATCACCCAACCCATTCACATTTAAGATTATTATTGATAGGTACTTATTCATTGCCACTTTTTTCCATTTGTACCTGTGTCGTTCCCTGCCTCCCCCCCGCCCCGATCTATTTCTTCTTTTTAAAGCAGTCCCTTTAGCATCTCTTGCAATGCTAGTTTGGTAGAGATGTACTCTTTTAGCTTTTTTAAAGATCCTTATTTTGCTTTCCATTTTGACTGAGAGCCTTGCTGGGTAGAGTTGTCTTGTTGCAATCCTTTGCTTTTCATTACGTGGAATATTTAGTGCTATTCCCTTCTGGTTTATAGTGTTTCTGTTGAGAAATCAGCTGATGCTCTTATTGGAGCTCCCTTATATATGTTACTTGCTGTTTCCCCCTTGCTGCCTTTAAGATTCTCTTTTTGTCTTCAAATTTTGCCATTTTAATTATATGTCTTG